GGGGGGGTGCGTACAGCACCGCAAACGGCACCCGAACACCGCATCTCTCACACTCTCTGTCACGCTTGTTGCAGGTCGCACCGACGGGCCATGTGAATCTGAGACGTCATGCCGTCCATCAAGAAGCCCCACCCGACCGAGGATGAGGCCGCCACGCGCGCCGCCCTCCAGCGGCAGGAGACCCTCACGAAGGTAAGCTCGTCATCGTTTGCGTTCGTCACGCGGACTACTCACCATAACTCGTGATGATTGTCTGTGCAGATGGCGGAGGAGCGGTACCTGTTCGAGAAGCGCGTGCTCACCTCGTGCACGGCGGGGATCGTGATCATCGCCGTGCTATGGACCGTCGCCCTATCCACCGACCACTGGTAAGAAGAAGTTAACAAGTCCGGCACTTTTAGCTAGAAACTTATTGTTTATTTTTAAGTTAAAAATATTTGAAAGATAATCGTAGTTCTAAATAAAGCAGTCGTAAAATTTACTGGTTTTTACATCGCGGTTTCGACATAACCAGTTATTGACAAAATAATTGCATGCAAGCCGTATTTCCTGCTAAGTATGTTCTCCAACAGTATTGTCATCGACGCTCTTTCATTCAGGTACGATCTGCAGCCAGAGTCGGGGGGCATCTTCCTTAGGGACTCCCGCACCGTACTCAGGTCGGGCCACACCGGGCTGTGGAGGCTCTGCTCGGAGCAGTTCCACCCCACCAACCTCACGGCCTACGAGAGCATCACCACCACCATGGGTATGTATACCAAAGCATTCGCCGAGCAATGTCTCCGTTTCTCACTCCCTCATCCACTGTTCTATACCTCTCTCTCTCACACTCATTGACAGGCAACAACACACTCCACGCAAACTTTTAGCCGGAACGTAAATCAAGGGCTAGATGCCTTCCTGGAGCTGGTGGAAGGGGGCAGGGGTGGAGGGGAAAGCGGGCGTGCAACTTGCGCACTTTATCAGAGAAAGGCGTTTGCTGCTATCGTGCGATACGGCGCTAGGAAACACGTCGCAGTTAAAAACCACTCAGCCGCCTGCCGATATGGCGGCCATCATACAAACTACCAGAGCAAGATTGAAAGCGAGGAGGGAAGGGGGGGGCGAGAATAAGAGAGAGGGGAAGGGTGTGGGACGGGGATTGAGAGAGAGAGAGAGAGAGAGAGAGAGAGAGAGAGAGAGAGAGAGAGAGAGAGAGAAGGTAAAACCGACGACTCCCTCAGGGAACCACAACAACGCGCGGCCTCCCCCCTCGGAACGCATTACAGGACGTCCTACACGTGTCACATGCTTCGCAATCGCAGTGAGTAATTGCGACACCACCCCGCGAGCAGACAAGCCACGCGTGCAATCAAGCCACTCCCTCCCGCACACTGCGACTAGTCCTCCCGCGCCCTCGCTCTACCTTCCCTTGTTCCATACCTCCCCCCGTCCTCTTTTCCCTCCACCCCCTTTCCCTCTCTCTCTCACTCCTACTCACCTCAACAATTCTCTCCCACCCCCCTCCTCATTTGGCTATTTGGCTAATCAAGTTGCTCCGTTTGAAGTGAGGCCAGGCGGAAACTCCGCAGCGTCGCTTATTGCCATAATCTAGCATGACAGTAGCCGCCGGCAGCTGAAGAGGGAGCAGAGGGAATGCTCGACGGGTTGGGGTAGGCAGGCTGCGGAGCGTTAGGGTAGCTTAGGCACCGCCGCCTCCTGCAAGCGACAATATATAAGCTCCTCCAGCTTCCCTTTGCTCCGCTGGCAATGACTTCAGACAACGAGCAGCCGCGGGGGGCTCCTGAAAAGTAGTATGCCATCCCTCATATGACAGAAAATCCGTGTTGCTCAAACAACTTCCCACTTTGCAACTTGCGTGGTGCGCCAAGCCAAAAGTCTTTCTAAGCGCGAAGTGATTTTCGCCTCGTAAGAAAGCTAAGAGTACACGGTGCCGGGGCTGCTGGCGCGACGCGACTTGGACGCCGGTGGTAGTTAGCCAAGTCGAACTTTAGGCGCCGCCCAGGCTCCGCTCCGCGCCCTTCAGACGAAGGGCCCGGCCGGAGGGCCAGAGGGCCTCGCCCGGCCCAACCAATGCGAATTGTATGATGACGCCGTTAATTTCCCGAGCGCGAAAGCCCGGCCAGCAGAGGCTACGAAGAGGGGCAGGGGAAGTGGGGG